AAGGGAGCGGGAAGGCAGCGGCGCGCGGCGCGGCTGCCCGCGGAGAGCGCGGGGCGCGGGGCCGACGAGGCTCGGACCCCGGCGGGGGGATGGGCCCGCGCGGCCGCGCTCGCCGTGTTTACATCTCGGCGCGAGTCACCCTTGCCTTGCAGCGGACGGAACCGACCCGCGGCGGCTAGCGGGAGGCGGGGCGGGGGTCCGGCCGCGGAGGAAGCGCGTCCTGGGAGGGTCAGGGTCGGGCGGGAGGCTGTGGCCGGCGCCGGGCTGGGCGGCGAACCCGGGGCGGGACCCGGGAGTCTCCGGCCGGCCGCTCCGGGTGGCGGCGGGCTGGACAGTTTCCTTCCCGGTCCGCCTCGCCGCCGCCTCCTACCTTTCCTTCCCTGCGTGCTTGCTCGCACGACAGGTTGTATTCGGCCGTCCTTTTATTCTTGCTGTTCACACTGGCCTCTGCTGCCGTCTCCCACTGTTCCCAGAGCTAGGAGACGGGACTGTGATCGGAGTTTGTTTTCTTAAACGAAACGAAAACGGGCTCCGGAACACGTACGTCCAGCGACCGCCTTCAGGGCCGCCAGCAGAGCTTGGCCCTGGGGGACCGCGCCGCAGACGGCTCCCGGCGCGCGGGGACGGTGCGGAGTCTGCCCGAGCAGCCTTCCGCGGGGCGCCCACCCCACCGGGCGTTTTTATTGTGGCACCACCAAGGGACCGAAAAGATTTTACAACATTAAGAGCTATCACGATCGCAGGTTCTAGTGTTCTCGGGTGCTGGTGTCCTGGGCTGCCTTTATAGGAGCCCTATTCATTGTAGAATAGCATTTAAGTTCTTGGTATTTCATTAAATGGGAGCTCAGAGGGGAACGCTTTGTAAAAGTGTAAAATCTCTCCGTGTTTGTATCGTGAACATTCACTTCACCTATATGATTTAAATTGTAATCCGTTGACCAGAGAGCAGTAACAATAACGTAATCAGATTTGTCTTTCTGAGTCTTTTTTGAGAGGCAAATTATGCACTTTCTCCAGAACTAGCGTCACCGAGAGTGTCAGCTGTGGTAACATAGAGTTGGGTATCTGTGTTTTAGAATCTCTTAAAAAGGCAAAACGTACAAACTGGAAAGTACTGAATATATCTGGAGGGATTTAGGAATAAAGTTTATACAGGATGACAGTTTGTAGAATGTATTCTTATGAATATAATTGAGGGATTTCCTTCCTGGTAAAGCGATGGAACAGAAAATTCAAATATGTTGGGTATTAGAAATTTGAAAACTTGGGGCCGGGGAGTTAGCTTAGTAGAGTTAGTGCTTGCCTGGCAAGCACAAGGGCCTGAGTTCAATCCCCGGTTCCGCAAAAAAAAGAAAAGAAATTTGAAAACTTAATTTTAGCTTTAAAACTTAACTATGCCTTTTCAGACATAAGTACTCACAAAGTTAGCTTTAAGTATTGCTGGAAAGTTTGAACTTTTGGAATTTTTTTATCCTAAGTGGTTGTAGTAGGTCTTGTAAGCGTTGATTTTATGTGCTCAAAAGTTGTATGCCTTTATGTGTGTGTGAAGTATCTTTATTGAGGGATCATTCATGTGCCATCCAATGTAATTTAAAGGATACAGTTCGGTGAGTTTTGGTAGTATACCCACAGAGTAGTGTAAGTAGCCCAACACTATAATCAGTTTTGGACTCTCTATCACTGCTGAAGAACCCCCCCAAACCTCCCCTCGCCATTGTTTCTGCCTAAGCTCAGCTTTGGACAGCTACTCCCTTTTGTCCCTAGATTTGTCTTCATCTACATGGAACTGTACGATATGTGGTCCTTTGTGACCGGCTTCTTTCACAGTATGTTTTCAAATTCACCCATGTTGTAGCATGTGTCAGTACTACATTTCTTTTTATTGCTGAATAGTATTCCATTCTATGGATATATGTCATTTTACTTACTTGTTGATAGACATTTGAGTTTTTAGTCTTTGGCTTTTATGAATAATTCTGTGACTAGTTGGGTTGTGTGACATGCTTCCATTTCTCCCAGAAATACACGTTTCAAAAGAAACTAATTTTTTTTTTTCCAAAACTGGGGATTGAACTCAGGCCCTTGCGCTTGCCAGGGAAGTGCTTATTCCACTGAGCCATCTCCCTGCCCCAAGAAACTAATTTTTTTTTTTAAAATATATATATTTATTTATTTAGTGTGTGTGTGTGTGTGTGTGTGTGTGTGTGTGTGTGTGTGTGTGTATGGCCAGCTCAGCCCACCAGGGGGCGGGGCTGGCTGGCGTGTGGTGCTGGGGGCTTGAATCTCGGTCCCTGTGCTCTGCTAAGCTTGTTCTAAGTAGGTGCCCTAGACCACTGAGCCATCTCACCAGCCCAGAAACTAATTTTTGACTTAGAAGCAATTCACTTATTATGAGCGAGAGAGTCAGTAGTTTTTAGTATAGACTTGTGAAATTATCTTGTGAAAGCCTGATTTAGAACATGTTACTGACTTTCAGAAATTCACTCTAGCCTGTTTGCAGTTAATCCTAGCTCCCTGCCCTAGGCAGTCATGGATTTGTTTTGTACCTCTTTAGGTTTACTTCGCTGGAATCATATAAATGGAATCATAGAGTATGTATGATTTTTTGCATCTTTTTTATTCATTTAATATACACTTTTTGAAATTTACCCATATTGTAGCTTTTATCAGAATTTTACTTGTATTTGCTGAATGATAATTCTTTCTATGTGTAACACTTTATGTGTTGGTCAAATGATAGGTATTCAGATCTCCCTAATCCCCACAGGAGAAAAACTCAGGGCCTGTGGATGCTAGGTAAGTCTTAACACTAAACTGCATGCCAGTCTCCCTGCCCCTTTTATTTTTAGTCAGTCTCACTCCAGGTTGGCCTCAAGCTCATGGAAGAATAGCTGGGATTAAGGCCTGTGTCTGTGCCTGCCATACTTCTAGGTTTTTAAATCTTTTGAGTAGTGTTCCTTGAGCATTTGAGTAAAATCTTTACAAGGGTATATGATTTTTATACCTGGGTATAGTACTACTGGGTAAAAGTACCATTAAAAACTGCTGAACTGGGCTGGCCAAGTAGAAGATTAAAGCTTCTGTTTAGGCAGAGCGCAGAGTCCAGGGTTCAATCCCCAGTGTGCCATGCCAGCCCTGCCCCTGGGGTGTACTGAGACCCAGATTGAGACTGAGTGTGGTGGCACATGCAGCACTTGGGAGTCTGAAGTCAGGAGTCAGTTCTGTGTAGTAAGACCCTGTAAACCCTGTACTAAATACATAAACAAAATAAAAAAACTGCTGAACTGTTTCTCAGGGTGGCGTGCCATTTTACATTTTTTGTGAATTATGTGAGAGTTCCTTCAAGTTTCATATCCTTGCTAACACTGTCTTTCTTACAGCCATTCTAGAAGCCATAAAATGATTAAATTTTTGTAGTTTTAATTTGAATTTTCTTTATGACTCATAGTTGAAACATCTTGTCACATGACAGTTAGTCATGTGTCCTTTTGGGTGACATAACTTTTCAGAGCTTTTACCTTTTTGTGGGGGGGTCACTCACTATCTAGTTCAGCAGCCTTGAAATATACTGCATATCCCAAACTGGCCTTGAACTTGTCCCATCTTCCTGTTTCAGCATCCCAAGTATTGGGCTTACATGGTATACATCACCATGCTTAGCATTTGAACCCCCACCCCACCCTCACTGCCCATTTTAAAATTGGGTTTGAGGGGCTGGGGAGATGGCTCAGTGGAATAAGCACTTCCCTGGCAAGCGCAAGGGCCTAAGTTCAATCCCCGGTTCCGCCAAGAAAAGAAAAAATTGGGTTTGACTTAGTATTGATCTGCAAGAATTTGTATCCTGTGTGTATAAACCCTTTATTAGATACATGATTTGCAAATATTTCCTCTCAGTTTGTGACTAGTCTGTTTATTTATTGAAACTAGTAATAAAACTCAACCTCATAGTTGCCAAGCAGGCACCTTGCCAGTGAACTGTATCCCTGGTCCCTCATTTTAACAATGGGGTGTTGGAGTCTTTTGAAGTATTCAGTTTTTTTTTTTTTAAAAGCATTTAGTTTTGATGAAGTCTAGTTTCTAGATCATGATTTTTGTTGTCTTATGTAAAAACTCTAATAAAATTTTGAGAATTTTCTC